TGCACGTCACGATTTATACAAAGTGACGTCACTTGTATTTAAAATTTCCAGAACATCAACCTTCATTTCAGTATTCAAATTTTACTAACACCAGCTAATAATACGGAACTGCTCGATCTTTCATAGGCGTCAGCACGGTGTAATAATCAGAAAAATGTAATCATCATTATATTGGAAATTTTTAGAATTATATTGATTAAATAACCAAAAACATTTGTTATTATTAATAATGTAAATTTTATGAAATAAATCTTTAAGTCTAATATTCCACAAAATAATAATTTTAGACAATTGTACGCAATTAATACGGAAATACTTCAAATTTTATTGACAGTTGAGCGTCAGTCAGCATGTGGCAAAAGTGTATAAAGTGTTGCCGCTTTTTAGGGTAGGAATATTGTTTATGTTTTGATTTATGATGAAAGAAAATATGTTTGTCGTCAGGTTTTTGTTAGAATCCATGGTATAAGCGAAAAAGAGTTCGCGTTGTTTTAGACAAGCAGACCACCACAGGAAACTGTGCTGGGTGAAAACAGAGGAAAGCTAAGTCCAGGAAATAAAATGGTTGGACAGTTGGTCAAAGATCACATTGATTCACTTGTTACTGTTTCCAGTCACTTAAAGCAGAGCCAAAAGTCCTTTTCGAAAATATATGCCACCGGGTTCGTCAATTATTGGAGCATATGGAGCTTATATGGAATGGCTAAGAACACACATCCTGTGATAGAGTCCTACTATCGAAATATCTTTGTCAACGAATTCAATATAGGTGTTCAGCTTTCTTCTGTTTAATGATTGTAATTACCTGCTCTAAGATTAAAGTTAAACTTAAATGGTTAAAGACCAGCAAACCCGAATTCCCCCAGAATTCTGAATGGTTATTGAACTGAAGGTTCATTTAGCAGCAGAAAGCTTCTCAGAATATGATGAAAAGTACGAAAGCAGCCGGGATGAAAATATTGAAGTTTTTATGTATTGTTTTACAAACAAGCATTACCCACGCCTAAACTTACCTGCAACATTACAATACTACAAAAAAAATGTGGACTTACAACTTAGGAATCCACTACTTAAGCACGTGTTTTTAATGTCAAGGGCATTCGATGATGGGATGTGTGATCGAGATTTTGGCTCAATTAAATTAAAGATCAAGGACTGTGAGGTATTTTCTAAAGAACACTATATCCATTTCATTACACACAACTTAAAAAAAGAACAAATTCTAAGTTGCTAATGTCACGAGCAAAATGGTTAAGGATTTAAGTATTCTTCAAGCAGCTAACTACATCTCAAATTTTGGGAACTAACTTCAAGGATGGCAGAATATTCGAATTTTTCCAATGATTTTAAGATGGGCTTTAAAATTCAAATCGCATATAACACGGATATTCCTACAAATGTCCATACTCACAAAGGGACGAAAGAAACTTCACGATGTAATAAATTTTAACTTAGATAGTATAGAACTTGCTCTCAAATACCAGAGTGCTCTCAAGCTTACAGAAGAAACATAAAAAGGACTTACAAGAACTTCTTGATTATGTATTAGTGGAGGAATTAGTACAATTGAAGTCGAAGAAACTGCAGACGATGATGAAAATCAAATTGAGTTTAATTTGTTCAATTTAAAGCAATATTTGTGAATTTTTTTAAATTATTTTAATGCTATTACCTTCCACATGCTTTATTAACAAAACTATGTGTTTATTTTTGTAGAATAAAAATACATTAAACCCCTTTTCTTTTCATTTTATAAAAATCTTGCAAAATCTTCTTTTAATAACGGTATAGTTTTATAGAGTAAGCCACAATTATTGGTTGTAATGATAATTACATTAAAAAAAAAACTTTTTCTTACTTAAAAAATATGTAATTATCATAATAGCCAATTGTGGCTAAATTCCATAAAACTATACCTTTATCAAACATGCCACAAATAAATAGCTTAGGATTTTATCCTCTTTGAAGTTTTCGTTTTATTAATAAAATAAAACTTGTTCGCCCTTACATGTTTTTAAACTTTATATACTCAGTTTTCCAGAAACGTGGGGTGTAAGGGGTCGAACCAACATCAATAACATCATGACCCAAATGTCAACCTCACCTGCTCGAGCGGTAACAAATGGTTACACGGTGCACCCTGCTAAATAACCAACGAGGCTCTGACGACCGAGTATAGGCGGTTAGACCTTTAGTACCATAATCATGAAGAAATGTCATGGTCCCATTCCAGGAATCCCTGAGACAGTCTGATGGCTACCCCGAGAATGGCAGCCCCGGCATCAGAATGCGGCGCGAGAGGCAATCACCTATCCGCCTCATATTACTAGATTTTCGAAACTTCTACAGGGAACAACAGGACGGATCCTTGATAACGACCTTTGCTTACGTAAACGGACAAGTATCGGATATTGGACATAAAAAATATTAATGCAAGCATCACGCCTTGCCCAAATTTGTAGAGAGTTGAAAGCATATAAAGTCGATATACTAGGTCTCAGTGAGACACGGTGGAATGGGACGGGAGAGCACGTCAACATGGAAGGCGACCTGCTGATTTACTCTGGTTAAAACAGATGGCGGAAGACATGAAAATGGAGTAGGAATTCTTTTATTTAGTAAAGTCACAAAAAATTCTCTTGTGGAATGGAAACCTGTTTCAGAGCGAATAATCACTGCAAGAATTAGGACCAAATTAAGACTGGTAACACTGATTCAGTGCTATGCACAACAGAACAAGCAACAGAACAAGAAAAAGAGGATTTCTACGAATGCCTTGAAGCAACATTAGAACAAATTAAAAGATCCGATATAAAAATAATGTATGGGGAGACTTCAATGCCAAGGTTGGCACTGACAACACCAACTAGGACACGTTATCGGAAAGCATGGCACTGGCCAGAGAAACAACAACGGCGAACGCTTCATTGAATTATGTGGTAACCATGACCTAATCATTGGAGGGACTTGTTCCACACAAAACAATCCACAAGGTATCATGGAAATCGCCAGATAAACCGCACCTACAATCAAATCGACCACGTTGCAATCAGTAAGCAATGGAGAACATCTCTCTCTTAGATGTCAGATCATGGAGAGGCGCAGATGCGGCCTGTGATCACTACCTGATTGATGGCCGAAATTAGATTCAAAATAGCTAGGAATAGGATAGAACTGAACAAACCTATTCGAAAAAAGTTCAACATTGATGAAAACTACAAAATAACGAGACGAAAGTAGAATTCGCACGACAGCTGAGATCCAAAATCGACGAAAGACAAGACAAAAATTGGGAAACGATTAGCAAAGCCCTTGTGGAAACAAGTGAAAACGTGCTGGGCCTAAAGAAAGACGTAAAGAAAGAGTGGATTACGAGAGAAACGTGGAACAAAATAGAACGTCGCAAACACCATTAATCTAGAATTACTAAATTCCAAGACAGCAGCAGAGAAGAACCGACTTAGAGAAAGTTATAGAGAAGCGAAACAAGCTGTCAAGAAGGCAGCAAAGAAAGACAAAAGAAAGTGGGCAGAAAATCTTGCCGAAAGAAGGCGGAGTCGCCGATGAACATCAAAAACATGAGACAATTTTTTAATATCACTAAACAACTAGCAATAAAAGATATACTACCCACCAACCAATTGTAAAAAGTGCTACAGTGAAGATTTTACAACGCCACAGGAACAAGTCAAAAGATGGTATTAAATATTTTAGCGAATCTCTAAGTGCAGTCCAACACCACCAGAAGACGCAGAAAACCTAATACCCAATATCCAACTGAGGAATTAATCACAACGAACCAACAACGCAAGAAATAGAAATGGCCATAGAAAAACTGAAAGCACACAAAGCAGCCGGCCCTGACAATATTCCACCAGAGTTGTTAAAAGCTTGCCCAGGTACAGTGGGCAGAGCTAATCCAACCACTCTTGAAAAGGGCTTGGAGAGAGGAAAAGTCCCCAAAGAATGGATAACGGGATTAATAATAAAGATTACAAAAAAGGGTGACAAAAGATATTGCGAAAAACTGGAGAGGAATCACACTTCTGAATACTATAAATAAATTAACAGCAATAATTATAAACAACCGACTAACAAACAGTGTAGAACCAATGTTGAGGAAGGAACAAGCCGGTTTCAGACCAAACATCATGCGTGGACAAATTAACACACTAAGAATAATTGTAGAAACAGTCACAGGAATTCAACTCTCCTCTCTTTGTGTGCTTTGTGGACTTCAAGAGAGCTTTTGACACGCTCACACATACGGCCATTATGGAAAGCACTGCAGGAAATAGGAATACCAGAAAAAATAGTAAATCTCATCAAAGAACTCTACAGTGACACAGAAAGCAAATCCTACACAACGGCATAAAATCTGACAC